CAGTGAGCCCAGATCTGGCCACTGCACTCCAGCCTGGGCGACAGAGCGAGACTCCGTCTCAAAAAAAAACATAACAAGAATTCCAGCAGTAAGCATAAAAAAATTCAAATTATGTTTTAAAAGATAAAGAAAAATATTCCAATGAATGTAAATATGACATACATATGGTAAGACTATTTTCATAAACCTTAATTGTACTTTCATTAGCTGTTACCTCCTAAATATTAGTTATCCACAGTGCTAGGTCCTGGAAATCAGAGAAACAGAAGATATAATCCTGTCATTAATAAGTTTACAGTCCACCATAATTCTGTACGTCTCAGAAAAAAAGAAAATTCTGCTGTGGAAAAAAAAATCCCCAAACTGGCATCTAAAAGATCTCTCATTCTACCCACTGCTTGTCCTTTCCTATGCTGAGTGTCCTGGAGCAAGTCAGGTCACTTTTCGGCCTCACTGTCATCTGTAAAATGAAGGGGCCAAACTAAATTTTAAGATCCTTTCTGGCAAAAACATCCTAATATTTTAATCTGATACATAATTTACAATATGTATAATAACTATTCTATAAGTGGTAATTAGAAGTCAATGATAAACAGTCAACATATATAGCCATAACCACAATTTAGTAGTTTATAAAGCAATATTTAAATTTTTTTCGGTTATTTTTATCAAGTATCTCTAAACAGCTTCAGAGCCTACTGTTTTTTCAATACTAGTGTGAACACGCTTTAAAAAGACAAAGGTTCTGCATCTTTCATCCCAATGGCAGAGTATCACTTACACCACCTCCATAAACTTCGGGAAAAAAGATTCTACCAGACTTCTACAACTGCTTCTCAAAACTGCAGTCTGAACATATTCAAAAGTCTATAAAATTCTCTGTGAAAATTTTTTAATTTTATGTTTTCATTTCAGTGATACCCTCAAAATATTAGTAAAGCCATCTTATAATTGAAAACCTCTGAAATATATTCATGTATCTGTTTTCAATCAAGTGATACCAATTAATTCCTCTTTAATTCTCAGGGACTAATGTAGAAAAGAGCAACAGCATACTTAAAACTTAAATGCATTCATGCCCACATGAGGGCCAAACGATGTCACCCTTCCCAAACAGATGAAGGTTTTTTAGTACTAGTTCAAACAGAGAAAGAGGGGGAAAAGCTGAATCATCACTATATATATATATTTAAAGCAGTCCGTGAGATAAGCTTATATATATAGCAAGCAATAATTTAATTTAGCAAATTATCAAAAATAACATATTAAATTGACATAATTAATTTGAACAGTACTATGGTGCCTATAGATGCAATCCATCTTTATGGTTTTATAAGCATGACTTAATGTTAAGAATTATTAGCTAGTCTTATAATTCTGTACATTTCTGTGATACTGCAATAAAAATGAAGTCAGCAGTGGGGTTTTGTGAGAATATTATTTGCATTTAAAAGGGGTCAGTGCCTTAACCTAGTTTGAGAAAACACTGCTCTTATAAGCAGACTGCTCTCTTACCCTTCTTCCTAATTCCTTAAGTTACTGGGTTTGTGGTGGTACCAGCCCTGGGTCCTGAGCCTACAGAGAAGAGGGAATGGTTCAGATCAGGGTTTTTTGAGCCATTCTAATAGATGTGTAGCGGTACGGCATTGGGATTTTAATTTGCATGTCCCTAATGACAGGATTTTAACTATCTTTTCATGTGTTTATCAGCAGATAACTGCCATCTATATATCTAGAATGCATGGCTTACCACCCAGTGCTCAGAGGCCATCAGACATTCACCTGTCATAGTTCTACTAGACTGAGATAAAAATCTTTTCTCCTACTGCCTGGCTCTCTGATACTATCTAAATCTCTAAAGCCTTTTCAAAATTTAAGAATCTGAAGAATTATTTTTCTTCCTATAAGATGCCAATGTAATTTGAGTACAGCTCCAATATAAGACATTCTGACACTGAAAATTATATTTTATTACTGTTAAAATAAAAGATAACAATAGGGTTAAAAGCAAATATTTAAATTTAAGTTCAGTACCAATAGAGACAAGATTAAGTAAAGACCAAGATGAGAAGCAATATCTACAATTCATACATTCAAAAATATTTGTTGAGTGTCTACTATATGTTAGGCACTATTGCTGGTACTGAGAATAAGGCAGGCCAGGTGCAGTGGCTCATGCCTGTAATCCCAGAACTTTGGGAGGCCAAGATGGGAGAATTGCTTGAGCAAAGGAGTTTGAGACCAGACTAGGCAACATAGTGAGATCGTGTCTCTACCAAACATAAAAAATTAGCCAGGTGTGGTGGTGTTGCATGCCTGTAGTCCCAGCTACCTGGGAGAATGAGGTGGGAGGATCACTTGAGCCTGGGAGATTGAGGCCACAGTGAGCCATGACTGTGCCTGCACTCCAGCCTGGGTGACAGAGACCCTGTCTCAAAACATAAATAAATAGAGAGAGAGAATGAGGCAGTAGAAGGAACACACAAATATTAGATACATAACATGCTAAGGGGTGAAAACTGTGATGGAGAAGAAACAAACCATAGTAAGAGGACAGCGGGGGTATGGTTAATACTTATATGGTTTGGGAGGTCCTCACTGATAAGATGACAGGATAGAATAAGCCATGTGGATATTTAGAGGAGGAAGGTTCCAGGCTGAGGAACAGTAAATACTCCTCGAACAGGAGTATCTGTTGGCATGTAAAAGGAACTACAAAAAGGCTCGGGTTTACTAATTTGTAAAGCAAATGAACCAGACAATAATATACTGCAATATATAATATTATATATAATATAATATATTGCAACTGCTTTTGCATCAACTTAATTAAACCACCTATTCAAGTATAGTATAAATGTGTAAAAGTTCATGATTTCCTTTTTTTTTTTTAAATTAAATCTTGGACCTGTGTGAGAGATTTTCCATTTAAATGCATCAATTTAGCTAGGAAAATTCCAACATTTTCTAAAGGAAATATTTTTCAAAATCCTTTTAAAACCAATCTTACAATCTTACCTGTCACAAAAAACAGATATCACAGTTATATAAGTACATAGTATAAACTGCATTTATCTCTAAATAGATAAACAAAGCCAGAAGCAGAGAAATGAGATATTTAGTACCTATTTTTTCAGAGGGTTCTATTAAAAACAAAGAAAAGCAGTGCCCCTTTCTCACTTGGGAAAATAAATCACCTTAGGAAAAACTGAAAAGCATTAGCCTACAATTACTACTTAAAATCAAACAAACACAACTTTTAAAAAGTGAATTTTATTTTTGCATGGCATTAAGTCAAGCAACAGTATGAATTCTGTTAAAATAAGAATATATAGTCATCCTCCTGTATCCATGGGGGATTGGTTCCAGGACTACTCTGCAGATACCACAATCCATGGATGCTCAAGTCCCTCATATAAAATGGTGCAGTGTTTGCATATAACCTATGTACATTCTCCTATATACTTTAAATCAACTTTACATTACTTATAATACCCAATACAACGTATATGCTATGTAGATCCCTGCTAAACTGTAGGGAATCATGACAAGAAAAAAGTCTGTACGTGTTCAGTACAAAGACAACAATCCTTTTCTTTTTTTTCAAATATATATATATATTTAGAGAGAGGGTCTCACTCTGTCTCCCAGGCTGGAGTGCAGTGGCATGAACATGGCTCAATGCAAACTCAACCTCCTGGGCCCAAGTGATCCTCCCACGTCAGCCTCTTGAGTAGCTGAGACTGCAGGGGCACACTACCACATCCATTGTTTTTTCAAATATCTTCTATCCTTAGTTGGTTGAATCCATGGATGCAGAACCCACAGATACAGAGGGCCGACTATATAGGACATAAATTTCTATTCAATCAAGTATCTTTATACAAGATTTCAAAGTTCCCTTATTCTCCTTGACCAGGAAAAATATAAATTTGAATTTATCATTTTAACCAACTACACAATAAGATGTAAAAGATGAACATCACCCAAGATAAACTTAACAGCACTTGACTTTAATTCAAAATACAAACTAAAAAGCCATTAAAGTATGTAGAACTTTTTGAATGCCGTATTTTCTCCCTTGACTTCTTCCTTGGTTTTATAAATCTCAAAGGCTGTGTGGTAGTTTATATTACTTATACATACTCTTTACGTTGCAAAGATCCAAGATTTTAATTTTCCAAAAACAAATCTAAAAATTATAAAATCATAACCAAATTTTATCTCAGTTTAAGGAACTATCTTTTCTTGAGATGAAGCATGACTAAAATTGAGGAGCCTGAATGTTGATGAGGCTGTGGAACAACTGAAACTCTGACACACTGCAGATGGGAGTGTAACTTAGTACACACTTATGTCTTGCAAGTTACACATCACAAGCCCTTGCAATATTCTGTCATCTTCAGATTTCTGATCACAATGCCCACTACAAAAAGCCATGCCACAGGTAATCTTTCAAAGTTTTCTTACTGACACTTTTCACTACTATCATTCCAACATCCCTTAATGGTTGACCTCTGACTATTTGAGGCAAACCAAATCCTATTGTACGCAAAACAGCACTGAACACAATAACACAGTATCTAAACCTAAAATACTTACAACAAAACTAACAACAACTGCAGGATCTTTTTTAATTACATAGAAATGGACCTAGGCAATTTCATGAAGTTTTACTATAATATGAGAAATGTTATATAAAGCATATACAAAGAGTAAACAATGAGAATGAAGAAACGGAAGGACTACAGGAACTTTTAAAAACATCATTTAAATCTACTCCAGGCTCAAATTATTAAAAGGATAAAATAATCTCAGCAGATGAGCTAATTTAAGATGATGGTAATGTTTGCTATAGCAATTAGACTGTACTACCTTTAAAAAGTCATCTGTTTTACATTTCCCTCTAATTTTATTATTTGATACTATAAGTCGGTGAATGTAATATAAAAGAAAGAAAAGAAAGGAAAAGATATAAGAGAAAAAAAAGAAAAACTTACTGGGATGGAAAACTCCTCAGCCAAATACTTCAAGGAGCATGCTTCTCTTGCCAAGAACTTGTTTCTTTCTTTGAGATTGCCTTGAAGTTGTGTATCAAACTCCTTTCTGACCACAGAAGCAACAGAGTCAATAATCACAAGTTTAATTCCTTTTGAGATAATTTCTTCTTCCAAAGATTCAATCCTATAAAAGAAGAATTTATAAAATAGTCAATAAATTTAAGATAAAGTAAATAAATAAGGGTATTGCAAAGGCTAAGCAAATTAAAAACAATAACAAACTATTCTTTCCTAAGTTACAGTAATGATTTGCAAGAATTCAGTAAACCTAACTTATTTTCAGCTCTTCTAGACATATAACACTTTTCTGGAAACAGAGCAAACTGTTTCTGTGTAGTTTCAGAATTCCTTGATTCTCCTAAGATAATGCTAATGCTCCAATTTTGGGGTAAAACTACTTGTGGTAGCCAGTCTGTAAAATGGCCTGCACTTACTCTCTCCTCTTGGTATTTCACATCCTTGTATAGGTCCCTCCCACAGTGTGCCAGACTTGATCGGTGTGACCACAAGCATATGACAAAATCATGGTACCTTATTTCTGAGTGTAGGTCATAAAAGACTACAGCTTTCATCTTGGGTACTCTTTCACTTGCCCAGTCTCTCAGGTCACTTACTCTGAGGGAAGCAAGTTGCTATGTTGTGATTTATGGAGAGGCCCAGATAGTAAGGAACAAAGGCCTCTTGCCCACTGCCAGCAAGAAACAGAGGCCTTCCAACAACTACATTAGGGAGCTTGGAAGCAGATACTCCAGCTCCAGTCAAGCCTTGAGACAACTGCAGCCCTGGCCACCAGCTTGACTATAACCTGTTGAGCGCCACTGAGCCAGAAACACCCAGCTAAGCTACTCCCAGACACTTAACCTTCAGAAACTATGTGAAATAATATGTATTTGCTGTTTTAAGCTACTAAACTGTGAGACAATTTGTTAATGGAACAATAGATAAGTATTACACCACTTAATTAAATCTAAAACATTTTATTCGTTTAATTTTTTTCATTTTTAAAGAAAGACTTCAACCAAAAGGCTATAACAAAGAAGAACACTGAAAAAGTTATTCCACATAATTCTAACCTGTAAAGACTTATTCACTCAGAAGATGAAACATAAAAGATAAAACATAAACCTTCAACGCATTACTAAAAAATCAAAATCTAAAGCAGCATACCTTTGTAGAACTTCATCACAGGTGAGTTCCCGATAAAGATGAACTTTACTACTTGTCAAAAGTAATTTTTCTTCAGTGTTAAAATATCTGGGAAAACGGGATTCTGCTATCTCAACCAGTCTGTGGGTAAAAAAAAAACAGCACAAACAAAAATAGTTAATTCTATTTAAAGTCACATTGCTGAATCTCTAAATAATTTTACTTGAGAAACTTCTAAGTATTATCAATAGAGCAAGTATAAGCAAAATGGCTTAATATACAGGTTTAGAAATGTAAGCTCTCCTTTGCAAGCACTAACAGAGGTTAGCAGTCATAGCATGAAACTAGCAAGGGCTGTTGGATCTCATCTAATCTTGAGCAAACAACAATGTCTCTGAGATTTATCTTTCTGGGATCAAATATGTTTTTTGTAAATGATATTTAGAGTAGCAGCTATAAGGTATGTTTACTAAATAAGAACGCTTTCATTTCCTTGAATGAAATAAGTATATCTGAACAAATATGGTATATTGTATTATAATAGATATCAGTAAGTCTTCATGTCTCATTCCAGAAAAATACGCTTTCTCAATTGAAACAATTCAGGCAAATTAATGTTATGCAATAATTCCTTGGTAAACAGAAAATTATGGCCCAAACAAATTAATGTTCCAATATTTTCTTAGTAAACAAAAAGTGATTTTCTAAACACTGATTTCTGGCCTCAAAGCCAGTTTAATATATGCAGTAGGCCAAACACAAGAGAGTGACAAGTTAAAACACCATCATTCATATTATAAGATATGGAAAGCATTACTAGAAATTTCTCATATTTATGGCTTAAAATGTTAAAAATATAAGTCTTTGAGTTTAACCATCTCATTTCATTTTAAATGTTTTGAGTTTAACCGTCACATTTCATTTTAAATGAAATGACACTTTATCAGCCCTAGTACTTAGCCATCCCAGGGGAACTGGGAGGAGAGGCTGTAAACTCGAAAACCATCCTATATTTTATGTTCCATTTAGAGACTCAAAAGTACAAAAGAACAGTGTTTTCATTTCGAAATAGTTAGAGTTCTGAGAAGAGGCTGGGAACTTTGAAAAGATAAACAAAACAAGTCCTTACATTTGCTCTGATTAGAAATAAAAGAGAAAAACCTAAAACAGGAAAAGAGAAGAGAGAACTTCAACAACTGTTTTTAAGTATATTTTTGAACAATTTGAAAAGAAAAATATACATAGCTAAGTTGAACAGGAAGAGGAAAAAATACTTCATGAGTAAGGAATAGTACCAAAAGAGGTGTGAAGAGTGAGAATAAAATGGATCAAATAACCATCCAGGAAAAGAGCTTAAGAGAGGCACAGGGATTGAAATGGAAGAAGGAAATGAGGTAAGTGAGGAAATCAAGCAATGAGATGGCACTGGCACAGGCAGAGCAGCCAAATCCTGACGGTTTGCGGGGAAAGCATAAATTTTTTGATTAGGGAAACTATTTGCTGAGTTTAGTGCTGGTCAGAGAAGTCAGCTAAAAATCTCTGGCACTTAGAACCTACCAGTTTTTAACAGGATAGGTCTGGCAACATCTTCTAGAAACATGGAAGTTTTTCAAAATTTGAATGCCCAGTTGATTAGGAACCAGATTGAGAGTACCTAGCTCATTAGCAACAAGAACTCAGCAGCTGACAATTTTCTGCCCTCTAGCACTAGGCTGGATTTCCACTAGTGGCTTGAGTAGTGAAAGGCTCTGGAACTTATTGCTGCTTTCCCATTGCTGAAGGCCTCGGAAAAGAAATAACAGTCAAAAGATAGACATGAACAACCTTTGTTCACAGTTACCATGCTAAATAACTGTATTAAATGGACCATTTACACACCAATATGCTGTAATTTTCTCTGTTTCTCCAAATGTTTTTTATTTTATAAAAAAATCTAAAAAATATAAATCAAAAACCAAATATAAATGCAGTATTCGACATGCCTCGCATTCATCCCAGTAACTTCTTGTGACAATCTTCATCACAAAGATCTTTTTTGTTTAGGGCAAAAAACAGAAAAGAACCTATCGTTTGCTCCCAGACATTAATTATATAAAGTTTGAAAATAATGCCATCTAGTGGATATCTTTTTATAAAAAGTATTCTTTACAAAATGAGCACTTAAGATACATTCATTCAACAAATATTTATTGTTGACCTACTATATGCCAGGCACTGTTCTAGGTGCCGAGAATATGGCATTGAACAACCACCACCACCAAAAGAAAAAGAAAAACCCTTCTCTCATGGGGTTTACATTCTACTGAGGAAGACAAATAAATATATATTACATATCAGGTAATAAGGCTCTAGAGGAAAATGAAGCAGGATGAGAGAATAGAATGTGACAGGTGGGGCTAGTGCTATTTTATATTTTATGTAAGGTGAACTGACAAAGCCTCATTAATAAAGTGACATTTGAGCAAAAGCTTAAAAGAGGTAAGAAAATGAACCATGTGGATATCCAGTGAAATAGCACACAAGAATAGGGAATTATAACAAGTGCAAAAGCTTACATGTGGAAAGATGCCTGGTGTGTCTGAGAAACAACAAAGAGACTAAAGTATCTGGAACACAGGGAGTAAGAGGGAGAATAATAGAAAACAAAGAGCTAGCCAAGGCCAAGATCACATAAGACCTTTAGGTCTGTGGTATTTTTTTAGCTTTTATTTAGCAAAATGGGAAGCCTAGAAGCAGGAACAACATGATCTGACTTCTTTTTTTTTAAAGGACTGCTCCAACTGCCAAACGGAGAAGAGGCTTGGGCAAGAGTGAAAGCAAGGAGATCAGCTAGCACAGACAAGAGCTGGTAGTGACCAGTTAAGAGCTGGTAGTGATCTCACCCAGGGAAGTAACAGGTCAAGTGATGAGAAGTAACTGGACTCCAGATATAGTTCAAAAGAGGAGCTAAAAGAATTTCTTGGCCAGGCGTGGTGGCTCACGCCTGTAATCCCAACACTGTGGGAGCCGAGGCAGGCAGATCACCTGAGGTCAGGAGTTCAAGACCAGCCTGGCCAACATGGCAAAACCCCGTCTCTACTAAAACTATAAAAATTAGCCAGGTGTGGTGGCACACGCCTGTAATCCCAGCTACTCAGGAGGCTGAAGCAAAAGAATCACTTGAATCTGGGAGATGGAGGTTGCAGTGAGCCAAGATCATGCCACTGCACTCAGCCTGGGCGACAGAGTGAGGTTCCATCTCAAAAAAAAAAAAAAAAGAAAGAAAGAAAGAAAGAAAGAATTTCTTGACTAATTGGATGAGTGTCTAGAAGAATGGAATCACAATTTTATTGAAGCAGAAAAGACAAGATTCAGATAAAAGTTTTGGTTATTGGTGCTATTTGCATGTTTATTTCCTTTATGAGGGAATCAAAAATGCAGTTTTGGACGTATCAGGAAATCCATGTATGTAAACCTATCCAAGTTCCATGTCATTACGCAAATGAATATGAATCTGAAGTTCATGGGAAAGCTCAGAATTCAGATATCAATCCAGGAGTTATAGCCCATAAAAGATTTTAAACATCATAAGACCAGATGATATTAGGGATTGAGTACAGATATAGAAGAGAAAAGGTCCTAGGACTGAGTTCTGGGATTCCCCAAAGCCTAGAAGTTAAAATGATGAGGAGGATCCAGCAAAAGGGACTGAGAGGAGGAGGTGATCAAGAAGGTAGGTGTAAAATAAGAGAGAGTGGCTCCAATAAGCCAAGTGGGCTGGGCATGGTGGCTCACGCCTACAATCTCAACACTTTAGGAGGCCAAGGCAGGAGGATCTCTTGAGCCCAGAAGTTTAAGACCAACCAGGGCAACATACCAAAATCTTATCTGTACTAAAAATTTAAAAATTAGCTGGGCATGGTGGCACGTGCCTGTGGTCCCAGCTACTCAAGAGGCTGAGGTGAGAGGATTGCTTGAGCCTGGGGGGTCAAAGTTGCAGTGAGCCATGAGAGCACCACTGTACTCCAGCCTGGGTGACAGAGTCAGGTGAGACCCTGTCTAAAAAAATAAAAAGAAGTCAAGGGAAGAAAGCTTTTTAAGAAAAAGAGAGTGATCAACTCTTTCAAATGCTGCTATTGGGTAGGATAAAATTTTTTTAATTAGTTGCATTATAGAGCTGGGAACTAAAGCCTGGATAGAGTGAACTCAAGAGAGAATGAAAGAAAGGATTTTCACTTCTGCCCACAAAGGATTAACTGGTACAAGAATTGCACTAAAATAATAAGTAGAAAATCAGACAGAATACATGAAATAACAGCTTTCAGGTACTGAACAATAGAAAGCTTGAGACTGTAATCCTTGAGAGAAAGGAAACAAACACAATGTGCTTACAATCGCCTCAGCTTGCTCCAGAGGCAGTTTCCAGGCTGCAAAACAAGAAAGGGAAAGCAAACAGAACCTGGCAGACAATCCGAGTTGAGGAGATGGGGATCAGAGTTCGGGAAAGCTAAGGTGGCTAGAACTTAGGGGGCAGAGTACCAGAGAGGAAGCAGGTGTGCAGAGTGAGCACTGCAGAGATCTGCAGAAAGGTCCACTTGAGAACTAATCTGCACATGTGTGAAGGAAAACTACCTGAGGCTGAGGAAAGGACCACCAGAAAGTATCAGACTGAACAATTCCTAGTGCCCATACAGGGTGGGAACATTCGGGTTTACACAAGATGAAGAATAAAGAGACCTTATTATACACTGGGCATTGGGCAGAATTTTCAGAAGCATTTACCTTAGTAGTGGAGCTAAATAAGTTTCAGAATAAAAACCACAGTCACGCGCTGCATAACGACATTTCAGTCAATGATGCATCACTTATACAACAGTGGTCCCATAAGCTTATATAGTATATTTTGACTATACCTTTCCTTTGTTTAGATACACAAATACTTACCATTGTGTTGTAATTGCCTATTCAATACAGTAACATGCTGTACAGGTTTATAGCCTAGAAGCAATAGGCTATATCATATAGTCTAGGTGTGCCATAGGCTATACCATCTAGGTTTATGTAAGTACACTGTATGGTGTTCATACAACAACGAAATTGCCTAACAATGCATTTCTCAGAACATATCTCCATTGTTAAGCAAAGCATGACTATACCTGGGA